GTGTTTCAAAATGAAGATCTTTCTAAAACATTTTAAAATAAAATAACCTGCTGATATGAATTATTCAATGCATATTTTAGCTGGGCCACATTGTATATATTTTTTCAGATTCTGATGACAGTGACGGAGAGGGAGGAATGGGAAACGTCAGCAGGATTATTATGAGACCAGCTGGTCACAGCGGCAAAGCCAAAAGGGGCCACTTGTGCTTCGATGCTTCCTTCGAAACTGGGAATTTGGGCAGAGTTGATCTCGTCAACGAATACGAATACGATTTGTTCATAAGACCGGATACTTGTAATCCGAAATTGAGGTTCTGGTTCAATTTTACTGTAGATAATGTCAAACAAGATCAGGTTGGTTGAAAAATTATCTGACGGGTCTTAAGCCACAGTCTTTCTGATTGTAATGTACAGGGTGTCCAGAAATTAGCCTGCCAAACTTCACCAGCGGCTTCTACGATCAAAACTAGGAAGAAAAGTGTCAATGAATATGAGTCGAGAAATTTCTCCTAAGGGAGATACGGCTCCCTGAAAGGGAGCTCCTGAAGATGATATTTCTCGAGTATTTCCGAAACTCCATGTGATAACTTAACTTTCCATGTTCAATGCAGTGAAAATAAAATCATTTTGAAATTTCACTCAGGAGTGTATAATACAGGGTGAGACTACATTCAATATCGCTCAACATTTTTTGTATGCTTATTTTCAACAATTTGATTTCGACTTATGCAAATCCACACTTCTATACAGATGAAAGGTACTCTAGTTCCGTAACGATCATCATTATAGAGTAAAAGCGATTTAAAAATATTGTTACGTCTCAGATATTATGCATAACATTGAAATGAGTCTTTGTGGAAATGAATAAAAAGCACAAAAATTGAATTAGTTTTTTATCATCATCTTCCTATTTTTTGCGCTTTTATCAGATTGTTTGGTGAAAAGAAAGTAGTTGATTTTTTATAGGCACTATATTATGATTTGAAAATTGGCAACGTTATGCGTAAGATGTGAGTGTATCAATATTTTTAAATCGATTTCCTTCGAAAATGATACATCTGATCGATGCGGAACAGGAGCATCTTTTTATGCAACGGTGTGGATTTTCATAATCCGAGATTAAATTGTCGAAAAATGTGCATACAAAAAAGTTTGAACAATATTTATTGTAGTCCCACCCTGTATTATACACTCTTGAATAAAACACAATGGGCATGGCAAGTTTAGTTATTTTACCGAATCGCATCATTGTATCACGTGGCGTTTCGGGAATATTCAAGAAATCATCATCTTCAGGAGCTCACTTTCAGAGCGCCGTAGCTCCCTTGGGAGACATTTCCCGACTCTTGATCATTAGAACTTGTCTTCCTATTTTTTATCGTTGAAGTAGCTGGTGAAGTTTGGCAGGCTAATTTCGGGACACCCTGTATATAACCAACCACAGATCACCCAACTCCCAGAAATAGGAGAGCTAGGATTCTCGCCGTCGCCGCTATGGTTACAAGGAGAAATTGCTTCTACTAAGATGGGTTGAACTCTGCTTCGACCCCTTTGCTCCACTTGGCCATATAATATAAATCATCAGAAATTTTTTTATTTACCACAATTAGATACAGATCAGTGTACCCAAATTCGTCATTTTATGATTTTTTTTTTCATTATGAATATGCCACAGAAATACTTTTCTTCGAATAGTGCAATGAGCATGTTTTTTCAGTGTAGGTCGAAGGGTGATTTGTAAAATCAACAATACATTTTTCTCCGTATATATGGTGGTGTTATTAGAGGTAACGAATATTCAACCATCGAACATCAAAGCAGGCGGAATCGAAACTTTCGCATTTGTGTTTGTGTAGTTGGGTGATCTGTGATTCAACATAATTCTCTATACAAGGTGTTTCATATTGTCATCGAGAGAATTCAATAGTCGACGGAACTCGTGAAAATGACAAGGAGAGTTCAAGTTAACTTGTAAATTTTGGAGATTCGTTTTCGAGATACAAGGTGTTTTTGAAAAAGTCAAAAGTTTTTTTATTGAGAGCTCAAAAACTCCTTGACTTATTTTCGTTAAACTCAGCAGGTTTCATAACTGAGAGATCTAAGATGAACAGAGTTGCCCCAATTGTCAGCAGGAGCGAGACAGTACTGTTTCGACCCACCAGATCTCATCAGCCGCTCTCGGTCTGCTGACAACTGGGACAACTCTACGCTTCGGGTATATCACTCATTTCGAAGACGAAGAGTATAACATGAAGTTGTAGTCATGTTTTAGCCATCTCTTGTGGCAAAGCTCTAAGGTAGGATACAGATATCGCGACACACACTGTATGGCGCAAATAATATTTGTAACGTCAACATCCTGTAACTCGAATACATAAAAGTGTATATAAACTGTTTTTTTTTAATTTTCGCGAGTACTAATTATGGCCTATCAAATTTTCAAAATCCTCGCATACGTTATTTTGTTATTCCTGCGGTCATAAATTTTTTGAAGCATACATTGCTCAAAGTTGATTCATTTATTTCAACATGTTGTAGTACGTACTCGTAGAAATGAGTCATTTCTAAAAAATAGCCTTCATGATATTTGTAAATTAACCAAAATTAATATTTTGGAGCGATATCAGTGTTAATACCACGGTCCTTGAATTGTTGAGGGAAGAAGATCATTCAGGTGCGTATTCTTTGATTCTAAAGTATCAATTCCTTCATTAATTCGCAATTTTTGTATGAACGATTTTTTTGGGGAATTACTTTTTCATGAGCTCTACACCCTGACGGATTGAATGCCTTAAATATATTTTCTGTTGCAGAGAGTTATCTTCAACATTGTGAATATCAGTAAAGAAAGGAATGTGTTCATGGACAATATGACCCCTCTAGTGAAGTCTTCAAGTAGACCACACTGGTACGCAATCAATTTATGTTCAGTATTTATCGGACATATATAGTCTTAATAATCATTGAACTAAATCAAACTTGAGTGTTTTGTAGTAGACTGTTATTGCCGCTTCCAGTTCCGCAAGCTCAGAGATTTTGAGAGGGATCTGAAATGGCAATAACTTGTCCAAAAGAATAGTGTCCCAGGTAGCACATAATCTTGGCTGAATTCTGTTTTAAGATTGGGCCGATATACAGTATGATGCAAATGTATGGAATAAATTCATTTCAAAACAAGACGACTTCCGAAAAAAATCCAAAAAGTAGAGTTCAGAACTTTTTTATCGATGTATTTTTTCAACTAGACGACCCTTCGATGTTCAATTCTCAATAGAAGATCTCTGCAAGATTCAGTTAACCAAATGATAATCCATTTTAATTTCAATCTTCTTTTGCAAAATTTTGACTATTGGATAGACGATCAGTAGACCTTTCAAACGAGGTGTCACATGACCCCTGTTTGTATTTGAAAAAACCGTCCATTACGTCATTACTCCAACACCGGTGACGTAACATCTCTCATATGAATGTAATGAGATGAGGTTTCAAAAATTAAAACTCACCTGTTTTTGGAATTTCTTCAAATGTCGCCCATTTCTGAAATAATGAATTTATTCCATACATTTGCATCATACTGTATATATATATATATATATATATTGTAAATGAAAAAATGATATTGGTCCAATATGATTGTACCTATATTATTAATGCAATATTATGGTTCCACCTGAGCTAAATGTGAATTGTCAGCTAGAATATTGAAGCAATATTGTTGAAAAATTCGTACACAATATGTGGAAAAACATATAATATATGAAAATTATATAATACTGTTGTACAAATGTCGGTACAACAACATCGTATACATATTATACAATTATTACCAATATTGCAATTTGAACAATCCCCCATGTCGATTCTGAATCGGTTATGCAATATTCTATATCCGAGTTCGAGGGCACATTGGTTGGATATTGTTCCAACAATGATTGAAACATCATATTCACCTCGATATTGATTGATATCGTTTTAGCTATATCATGCGGAAGATATCGAAGGTATATTGTTTCAAAAGATTAATATGAATATCGGCAATAATTTTCTTTCTATCGGTCATAGAAATTTGATTGCATATCGGTTGAATATCGTTTTCCAAAATCGCATATCGGTTGAATATCGTTTTCAAAAACTAATATCATACAATATTGGTTAATATATGATTCACTATATCAGCGAGAGCAATATTTTCAAACCGATGTCGATAGTTGGCGTGATCAATGAGGCGGCTTCCCCAGGACGAGAATAATATCGCCGAATGTTCACCTTTTATGTCTCGCCAATATTGGTATGAGAATATTCTACCAATATTTTCAAGAGAAGAGGAACAGACCGAGGAAGAGAACATAGCAACTTAATGATTTTCAATTATCCATCAATATTTCCAACTAATATTCTACCTATATTGTCAAATGTTCACTTTTCATTTCTGGTCGATATTGATTTAATATTTTGTGATCAATATCAGTCTACGAATAATATCAACCAATATTGGTTTGGGAATATTTCACGAATGTTTTCATGACGATATTGTCACATGCTGATTTTCAATATACCACCCACATTTTGGAACTAATATTGTATCAATATCGCCAAATGTTCACATTTTGTTTCTCGCCGATATTACGTTCACAATATTTCCGTAATATTGCACCGATATTGTCCCAATATACGTGTGCTATTTGGGGTACACTGTACATAATTTGTTATTGGATATATGAGGTGCCTTTTTTTATTTGTTCAGAAACGCCAAGAGAATGAATTCTTTATTTTCACCCAATATCATAGAATTTAGATCAATGTAACTTCCTGATAATTATATTTTTGAAGGCAACGAATACCAAAGCAGTATGTCTATTACCAGAGATCTGCTTCCCACCAAGGCCATTACGTACTGAGTTTTGCTTTTGGTTTCGACAAAGAAGACGACGTTTTCCACTTTTGTTTGGCGCCCCCTTATAGTTACACCAGACTCCAAACTTTTCTGAGTATCTTAGAAAAGAAGGCTGCACACCTTAGTGAACATTTCAAGAGAGAACTTCTCGATAACAGTGTGGTAAGAAAATACTGTTCGTTGTTCTGATGATTATCATCAATACAATAAAATACCAGCGTATCTCAAATTCTCACTTCATCTACGTTTTACTTTTATAAGTCTACCAAAATAGTAAAATTGGCGATACGCAACATTTAAGTTTGATATAAAATTATCTATACAATGAATTCAACTTGGCACACTTGCCACATTTCTCTCTACTCGAGTTTAGAAGAACCTATGATTTTCTTTCCTGAAGAGATCCGGATTCAGGTGATTCGTTTAGTTCCGATGTTTCGATCTTGCCACACCTATTCATCTGCATCGCTGTCGTTAATAATCATGGAATGAATGAATTTACCTAATTGAGACTCACTTTATTTCTTGTTTTTAGATAAGTGATAAATTAAATTTCAGTTTTCAGCAAAAAAGAAGGTTGGATTTGATAACCATAGGATCACTTGATAGAACTCGACCAAAAGCCAAGAGGAGAGTTATTGCAATCATGGCTAGAGTCCATCCTGGAGAATCTCCTTCAAGTTTTGTTTGTCAAGGTAACATCATTTATGGTTTGAAAATTAATGTTGTATATTCAATGGTTGTCCTACAGAGGATAAATTTAACCAACATTCAATATTTATTGGTTCTTGCGGTGGTGACAAAATTGTTGAACAATACATAATAGTGTCATTACTGTCATTCTCTTCAGGGTGAATTTTTGGCTTTCCATAAAATACCTTGTCTCCTCTAGTCTAATATTTCAAATCCATAGAAGACTCAAATTTCAGGTCTTCACTTCATTCAGTTTGGTGTCCTGTATTAGTTTGTCACTGGTTTCGGTTTTATTATGTATAGACGCAGCTCTTCAGTTATTTTTCTTGTTGGTTCATCCATGCCCAAGGATTATAGGATAGATGGTTATTGTCGCAAAAGTCTGCGACCAGAGTGTCTCTCAAGTCTTGATTTCTATTGCTAGAGTTCCTTATTCTTACGTCCCATTAATATACCAGGTCGGATGTCAGAGGGTTAGCATTTAAGAGTCTCACTCTGTATGTTAGTCTTCTTATGTATATGCCCTCAATTCATTTAGGTTTATACATTCTAGCCACAGAACTCATATTGTAAGTAATATGAGTTATGTGAATCTAGCATTGCTCTCACATCTTCCTGAATTATTACCTTCGTACCTACACTGTATACCAAACAGGTCCAGTCTTCTTCCGTATGTAGGAAGGCATACATCCATCCAATTCTATAGCCCATGACCGTGCATGGTTTAGATACCCATATATCAGGAATAAAAAAAATTGAAATGTCTGAATCTGTCATAAGATATGAAATGGTATGACAATTTATCGAACATTTTAGGTATTACTTTTAAGGAAGCGCTGAAGGGCCATTAAAGAATTTCTTTAGTCGACCACATTGGACCAATAGGCACTACCAAAACACACAATTATTTATCTCGTCTGCTGGCTATTTTCGATCATACAAGGTTTTCCAAAAAATAGATACAAAGAATGAAATCATTGTTTTTTCAATGAATTTATTATCTATTTCGGACACTAGAGTTCAAATGTGGGTGAGTTACTTCAATGTTCCCTATATACAGGGTGTCCCTGAATGGTCTGTACAAAATAATACCACAGACTCCTGCGTCCAAAGTGAGATGATTAAACTATCTCAATTCTATACCAAAACACTCCATTTAGACACCACAGGACGTTTGAATTTTTATTTTTCATTTTTTTGTACCTTTATTTCAATATTGTCTATAGATATCGTTCTGAAATTTTGTAGGCACACTAAAAAGACTATCATGCATAGAAAACATTCCATTCCATTTCGATTGGCATACAGGATGTTACATATTTGGAGTACTACATTATAAAAACTGACGTCACCATTTATTCGACTTATCCCCAAATGGCTGCCACGAAGATTCGGTTTAAATGAGCTCTGAAATTCAACAATTTCGAACGATGCATAGACTCATTATTCACCTAAAACAAGCGCGAAAAGTGTTGTGGAAATTACTTCGAACATTGAAACACTTGAGTTTCCATATTCAGAATGAGAAACTACGTCAGAATATGTAATAAAATATAGGACGTGCCATTAAGAAATGACGAAGTTTTTCATAATTTGATTTTTTTCGATCTTAGCTTTTCATCACCCTGTATAATTTTTGGCTTTGAAATTTCAGTGAAGGTAATTTCTCACCTTTCTTCGAACGATGAAAATCATTGCAGAGGTTCAAATTCATTTTACAACACAAATAAAAATTTTAAATTCTTATACCACACAAAAATTAAAATATACTAGATGGGTATAAGAAACATTGAAGTAACTCACACTCACTTGAACTCGAGAGTCCGAAAAAGATAATGAATACAGGATGTTCCATAGAGAAAAGAGAACTTTGATATTGTTACGACCCTGGCGATCAATCCCAGCTACCTGCGGTGGGATGTAAACAAGTCATATTTCTTGGAATAAGTAATTAGGTGATTCGACGGCTATTGAGATGACTCGAGAAGATTATCGACCTGTTCACGATATTTCGAGTGGAATCTAGACGTTTTATTAGGTAATATAAATAGATGTTGTTAGGGACAGGAAAAAAAGTCTTTATTTGGAAGCGTTATAATAACGATCGAAGAAGTGTTGTGAATCGGAAGTGTTTAGTACGAGTATTGTAATTATTGTATAGTAGTGTTCAGAATAAATCGTTTTAAGTGTTATACCGAGTGTTAAGTTATTACGGACCCAGAGTAAAATCGTAACAGTGGTGTCAGAAGTGTGGATTTTTCGAGGACATTTGAAGACGTATGGTGAATACAAGGAGTACGTCATACGACGCGATGGAAGACATTTTGAAATTTATGCAAAATCAGTTCGCGGAACAAGAGGAACGACGACAGAAAGAAAAACAAGAGGAGGAGAAACGTCGTCAAGAGGAAAAATTAGAAGAAGAGAAACGTCGTCAAGAGGAAAAATTAGAAGAAGAGAAACGTCGTCATGAAGAAAAATTAGAAGAAGAGCAACGTCGTCAAGAAGAGTTACAGAAAATTCTAGAGCATCAAGAAAAAGAACGAGAACATCAGAAAATCTTCTTCGAACAAATTCTGCATAAAACTGATGTGCAAATAGATGAGTTGAAGACAGATTTCACCAAAATTGACGACAAGCTTAACCAGGAAGTTTCAAGAATAGATTCCATGTTCGATACAATCAAAAGAGATGTAGCGAATCAGATCGCCTCGCTACGAAGTCAAGATCGTCGTGACAGGGTTGCCACATCGGGTTCTTCCGTAAAACCACCAACTTTTGATGGACAGTCGCCTTGGTCTATGTATCGCCGACAATTTGAGGCTGCAGCAAGTGCAAATGGGTGGAGTGACGAGGAAAAAGCTACTGCACTCATTGTAGCTCTGAGAGGACCAGCTTTGGGGATGTTACAGTCGATCCCAGTGGAACAACAAAACCACTTCGGAGATTTAGTGGCTGCGCTAGAACTCAGGTATGGTGACCAACATCGAGAACAGCTTTACCGGGCTCAGATGAAAAATCGTGTGCAGAAGTCTGGAGAGAGCCTACAGGAGTTCGAAGCAGATGTGAGAAGACTGACTCAATTAGCCTACCCAGAGGCACCAGAGGACTTCAAAGAACAACTGGCGGTGCAGGTATTCATCGACGGGCTGAGAGACTCAGAAATACAGAAGACTCTGAGGCTTACACACTTTAAGAGGAGTGGTGAAGCCCTAGTAAGATCTCTGGAGGTAGAAGCGGCCTTCAACACCTCTAGGCCAAAAGTGAGAGCTGTGTCCATCGAGGAGCCTTCCGAAGACGTGGACCCAGTGGCGAAAATGTTGAGAAAAGTGCTTGAGGAACTCAAAGAAATTAAGAGTGGGTCTAGTAACCAGCGAAATAGATCCTGCTATCGCTGTGGCAGAACTGGACACCTGATAAGGGACTGTAAGGTGAGAGTACCACCACGATCTTCTTCACCTGCAAGGACGCCATCACGGTCGTACTCACCTGCGAGGAATAGGTCATCTAGTGAGTCCTCAGATAGATACCAGGAAAACTAGAACTAGCCAGCGTATCGGGGCGCATGCTGGCTAGTAATAACGAAGCCCCCAGGGTCATTAACATCAACAGGATAAGAAGAACAACTGATAGCCTGACCATCAAAGGAAAAATCAACCAAATGGATGTAACCTGCACCATAGATACCGGTGCATCAGTTTCTCTGGTACGCAGTGACATTCTCCGGCCTGGAAGTATAAAACCAACCACTTCCAACTTTGTTCTTCGTACGGTCACTGGAGAAAATGCACCAATACGAGGGATGGCTGATATTGAGTTGACGCTTGGAAGACTCCATATAATGAACATGGTATACGTCGCAGATATCGAAGATGAGTTTATCCTCGGCATGGATCTGATAAGTGACTACGGGTTTTCATTCGACAGTGATCAGAAGACCATGAAATTTGGAGGAGAAGAGTTTGTACTAACGACACCAGCCGAGAGGGAGACGTCTGTGAGGCTACGACTAGCGAAGACTGTGAGAATTCCTGGATTCACTGAGAAGATCATCCATGCGCGATTAGAAGAGGACCCTGGGTGCTGCGTTGGATTAGTACAGTCATGTGAGGAATCCCCCAGCAAGCTGTTACTTGCCCGAGCTTTAGTGACCACCGAACGAGACATTCCTGTGAGGGTAGCAAATGTTTTACCTACCACCATAACAGTAAGGGAAGGAGATATTATCGGAGCTTGTGAACCAGTCAGTTGGGTAGCAAAATGTGATAAGACTAACCAGCAGATATGGAGGGAACGAGATGACAGTGCATTGAAAGTTCTGGAAACCTCCTTGGACCACTTATCACCAACAGAATATAAAGCTGCCAAGAAATTCATAGCAGACGAAAGTGATATCTTTGAATCAACATCAACAGGGCGGACGAACTTGGTCAAGCACAGAATAGATACTGGTAAAGCTCACCCAATTCGGCAACCACCAAGAAGAATGCCATTTGCTAAGCAACAGGAGGTGGAACAGCTGGTTGACAAAATGATGAAGGATGGGGTAATTGAAGAATCATCCAGCCCTTGGTCTGCACCGGTTGTATTAGTGTCCAAGAAGGATGGATCCACAAGATTCTGTGTGGATTATAGGAAGCTCAATGACGTCACCAAGAAGGATAGCTACCCGTTACCAAGGATTGATGACACTTTGACTACATTGGCTGGCTCCCGATGGTTTTCGACACTGGACTTGAAGAGCGGATACTGGCAAGTGGGCATTCACGAAGAAGATAAGGAGAAGACATCTTTTACGACTGGTAATGGACTGTACCAGTTTACTGTGATGCCTTTTGGACTATGTAATGCCCCAGCAACCTTCGAAAGGCTGATGGAATTGGTACTGCGTGGGCTCACTTGGAAAACTTGCCTGGTATATCTGGACGATGTTTTGGTCATGGGAAAGAATTTCGAGGAACACCTGAAGAACTTACGGGAAGTGTTCCAGCGATTCAGGAAT